AAAATCCTTAAATAAAAGAATATATACCTACTCGGGGTTCCAGCAATACGTTTCAGAAAAATCACCGTTGTTCTGTCAATGTGAACAGTGTCTGTCAGTGTCACTGTGATCACAGCTGTCAGAACTCGGATCTGTCAGTCAGTCGATTTCTCGCTATTGCCGTGTAAATTGATGCTAATGGTGTAATGCTAAATAACAAAATGTGTAAACAAATGTTACCCTGCAGGACTGCTCAAACCTTTTTAGGATTATGATTATGTGTATGTATGTAGGTAATATTAAGATTAGAGTAGTTGCGTAGTAGCGGGGATCTTAAAAAGAGGTTATGTAGATATATTTCTTTAAAGTAATAACTTTGTTCAGAGAGTACGGATTTTGAAGAAATAAAAAATTAGAAAAAAAAATCCTAAAAATATTAAATATAAGCAATATTTTTAAGGTTATTTGATTGATGTACAAAAATCTTTAGTTCGTCCCCAAGCTCCATATCTCCTTTAGTGATGTCATTGTCCAAGAAGAACAAATATGGAGGAAATAAACAAAGTTCGGCTATGCCACACCGTTACTTTATTTATTCTAATATATTTGGAAATGGAATAAAATGAAAAAATAATTATTTGTTAATTGAACTAAAAACTTGTACGACGTTATGTTTTTATTTATTAAGCATTTAACTGCTAGATGTTTAAATCTAAAAAATGTTTACTAGAAAAAATCGACGCGGACCAGGCAGCAGACTGGACTCGAACCCGCACCCTTCGCCATCCGGGCGAATGCACTGACCATTATGCTACCGCGGCCCTGACGCCCGTGTCTACTTTTCTCTAGCCTTAGGCTGCAAGGCAGCCCCACCGCTTCGCATTGTACTTTTCTTTAGAAAAAAGAATGACTCAAGTATTTTCTACATTTTACTCCCTTTTCAGCATCTTTGAACTTTTCTGTTCTTATTTATTGTTCAATAACAAATTTCATTGATTACAGCTTATATAGTCGTTGAGGCAGCGTTCTTTCAGATGCTTTCATTTGATGCAAACAGACCTTTTTACTTCGAACTAAGACAAAAACAGTTGGTTATATTCAATGGTATAGTGACGGAACCACAACTTTAAACAATGTAAGAGTAAAAGAGTACATATCTCATATGTAAAAGTGGGTAAATTATGTAATATTTTATATGACTTTTGCTATTTAGAACGTCCCCATTTTATAACACTGTATTATAACGTTGTATCGAATAACAAGACTTTATAATATTGTTATTTTAAGCTTTAAACTGCTAGATTTATGAATGTAAAGAAAATTTTACTACAAATAATTTTATTCCATCTTGGCATCAGTCAGTATTCCGCCCGGATAGAACCTATTGGATTTTTTTAGTAAAATTGTCTAAAGACATTATTATTGTTGCACAAATCAATAAAATGTTATATTATAACATATTTTGTTATAAAGTCTGGACACACCTCAATGCTATTTCAAAATGGTTGCGCACCCATTTATTTATCGCTTCTGGAATGAATTATTATTCTCTCATATTATTAGTACCAATCTGTATAATAAGCTAATATCAAACTCTTTTTAAACTTGTTTAATATTTTTACATATGCAAGAGATATTGTTCACGAGAATGTGTGGGACTTGTAAAGGATTCGAAACTCCGGGAATAAGTAAAAATATTAAAACCGTAGTTCAAGACCTCTTGGACCCTCCTAATTGGACCTTACCTACAAAAAAGTGCCCGTTCGACCTCCTATCAAGAATATGGTGCCCATTGGACCCTCAAAGACGTACTTACCGACACAATGGGATTATTGGAGCTCTAACTATTTGGCTAATTCTTTTGGAACAGTAAAGTACAGTCGTATAGTAAAGTAACATTGTAAAAGGCATAAGGTTATAAATTTAAGTTTAATTAATCAACATATTTATAAAATCAATCAATCATCACCAACAAACCATAAAATATAATATAATTATCAAATCACAGATTTTGATACTTAACTTTTAAATAGAAATGATTTTCTTGCAGCTATAGCTCACACAACGTTTGTAGTTGATTGTGGGAAACTTTTTCCGTTTGTCAACTATAAATTAAAAAAGAAACTTATTTTTTCCAGATATTGAAAAAAGTTATCTTTATTCAACTACAAACGATTTTGGATATAGGAAATAGGTTTCTTTTGCAATTTTGAAGCAACTACAAACGAAAAAAGTTTTCTACAATCAACTATAAACAATGTCTGAGCTATAGCTGCAAGAAAACGGTTATTTTAAAAATATTGAATCAACATCAATCGAAAAATAGTTAACAAACGATGATATTAAGAATCATTAGAAAAAAATCGATTTTCCAAAGTCGAGTGCTAGGTTCACACAGCTATGTATAGAAGGCCTAAAACGTTAAAGTATTTAGGTCACAACACTACTGTAAGTTGGTAAAACGTTCATTGGTTTGTAGTTTTTTTTTTGGTGAGAATTGCAAAATCCGTCCGCCATTTTATATCCAAGTAATTAATTACTTATTCAACTACAGTTAATTAATGTAATTAATGATCAGTCCTTTAAACCTAAAGCACAAAAATATTTAATGTCCTTTAAAGACAAAAAGGTTTTACAATATTTACGAAAATAACAAAAATGTAGTATTATCATTGTCACTTGCATATAGAAATAAAAAATATATGTCAGTAGTGCAATATTTGGTTTTGGCTCCTTATCAATAGTAATAAAATAATAATAAACATTAAACATAATTAAATTTTAATTACTACTAATTCACTTTTTATTTTCTAAATATCTCCCTTATATCTTATTGTACGAGTTCTGTACTAAAGAAATCCAAATGTAATAAAAATTAGCTTTTCTTAAAGGTAACTATCACCTGTCTGCGTCCAGTATTTAAAGAGCAATAGACAAAAAACAGATTTTTTTATTTTTCCTGAAAACTTACATTTTTGCAGTTATCTTTTTATTCTCCGGGGACGGCGACATGTCGTTAATTCGTAGAAAGAAGGTAACCTGATTCCTTATAATTTTTTAGGACTACTTACTGTTAGGAATCAGTGCAGTGCACAGTATTTAGTAAGTGGCTTTATAATACTTTCCTATTAATTTTATTTTTGTTTGCAATTTTCTACATGACTGTACTGTGCTTAACAAAACTGTCAATAAGGTCCAACTGGCAGTAGGGTATATATTTTGAAGGTCCAATGGGCACCAAAAAAGAGGTCCAATGGGCACATTGAATATAAAATTTTTAAGAAGGTCCAATGGGCACCAAAAAAGAGGTCCAATGGGCACATTGAATATAAAACTTTTTAAGAAGGTCCAATGGACACCAAAAAAGAGATCCAATGGGCACTTTTTGCTTTTGGGTCGAATCTTGAGGGTCCAATGGGTACTAGACCGTTCAAACCCGTTTAAAAAGTGTTTTATTTAATGTATGACTTGCGTTAATACATTAGGAATTTGTAAAAATAACAAGCTTTTCAGTAGTTACCAAACCTAAGTTTACAGTTTAAGTTTGCACCACCCTTTTACTTTATTGATTTGGTGAATTAATATTCAAGCTTTTTTCCTTACGAAGTGAGTTACCACTCTGTCTTATTGTTTAAAAAACCAAAAGAATATATTCACGGAAACGAAAGCAACAGATGCCCTTGTTTTTTTTATTTTAATTGTCCCAATAAGATGGAGGCGCGAAATAAATCAGCAAATTTTTTGTGGTTGAGAAGTGGGCTATCATGTTGGCGATTGGGAGTTGTATGATTTCGCAATTTCGCAAACTTTTTTTCATATTTACAGTGCGTTACTAATGAGAAAATTGCATATACATCGATGATTTACAGAACAAGTATCTTGGTGGCGTTAAAATAAAGCAGTAGTGGATCACTAAATAACTCGGAAATTATCACTTCCATCTGTCAAAAGTAGTTAGCGAATATTAGGCCAGCTGGGCTCCAGTGGACTCCCCAGGCTAGCTAAGGGATTGAATATGGTCTGCAACTCGCCAGTAATACTTCTGTCTAAATTTGCGTTGCTAAAGTTCCGAAAAATAAGAAAATAAAACGGATTTGTTTCTTCGAATTTTAGTTATTACAACTTTTTATCATAACTAGTTGTATCCGAAGAATTAATAAGGCGTCGATAAATATTTTTTTAACGTTTCAAAATAGAGTACCAAAGCATTAATTCTTAAAACGTTTCATATTAAAACAGCGAATTAACTCAAACCTCATTTAATTTTAACATTCGTCGGTATCCGCCTGTGCTACAGCTGGCAAGCAAATTTATTCTAGGCAGATAAACTGTTTTACTTTGTCCAAAAAAACTGATCCGAATTTTTATTGGCACCTCGGGGTGAATTAACATTATATAAATGTATTCGAAATTAACATGCAAAGAAAAATTACAAAAGTGCTGTACTTTTATATAGCTCGTACAATCTCTAATATTTTCTAATATTTATGATTGAAATATCTTGAATAAACATCAATTTATTTATTGTATTATTGTATTACAAGGAGCACTCTCCTTACATATAAAATATTTTTTATTGAAAACCTGAAGGTTGCAATTAATTTTATCACAATAAACATAAAAAAACAAAATTGAGAATAAACTTACGTACGATGTAATATCAGTATTTGAAAATACACAAATGTAAGCAATGATGAATTTTGTAACCAACCACTATTAATTTAGACACGTATTTTTGCATTAGCCATAGTCTATGACTTTATATTTATAAGGAAAAACGTTAATTTGAGAAACTGTAACTCATCTCATCAATTCCTTTATTTGCGAAGTTTATTAGCACCCTCGTTTTTAGTAAGAAAGGCTTTAGGCTCGTAGGTTATATGATACTAGCCAAAACATTTGAGTTATTTAAATAGGTATTCATATCAGACTTTCACAAATCGGAACAGTAGAAAGGATATCATTATTTTTTGAATTCAACAATACTGATTGCGTTTTCTTTTTCATTAACAAACTTGCAGCTTTCGGCGTAGTTGCAACTTCATTCGTAATAAGAGAAACTCCGCGATTTGAAGCGGACCACCCTTACATGTTCTTCCTTAAACAAAAAGAGAATGTACTGTTCACAGGAGCCGTTAACTTTCAGGTACCAACTTACATCAAACAAAAACCCAATATGACTACAAAGCATCCACACGAACCCTTAGAATGAAATTGACCGGACCTTAGAAATTCATTAATTTTAATTTCACTACAAATCAACTTTAAAAAGTATGCAATACATCTTTGAAGAAAAAGGGCCCGATATATTTATTTCGACTTACGACACTTTCATTCTAAAGGTTCGACATCGACTTGTCATCTATTTAATAAATTAATCACACCATTTTCAAATTATGTGGTGGAAGTATCGTAGGAAACTTATTAATAACACGTCTTGTTAAGTTAATAATCCACTTCTTACAATCAATACTAAAATGTGGGGATATAAAAGAAGATAAAGTAAAACAGTAAATTTCATTTTATTGCTCTCATTGTTGATTCTACGTTTCTTAAATAGGTACTACGCTTAATTAAATAGGCCTAAAACGTCTTATTTGATTTACAGCAATGACCGTCCCAATATATAACCTTGTGTTTTTTTGTTGAAAATATATCTAAATTGACTTTATATCAAAATTGTGCAGTTTTCAAAACAAGAGATTACATAATTATAGTTACATACTTACACATCGCGGCTACTCTAATTTACAATTGAACAAAAACTCAATAACCTTACCCTGCTTCTTTATTTAAGAGAAGTGCAAAGGAGATTGGGCAAAAATGTATGGTTAGAAAGATCTATGGAAAATTTAACTTTTTTTATTATAACACCGTAAAAACATATTAACCCACGTCCGCCACGTTTGTTTGAAAGGTATTATAGTCATTATTATCTATGCCAAAGGGCATCAAATTCTATTCCGCGGGTTTTTACTTATTTTAAGTTAAATAGGTACAAGTACTTACGTACAAGGAAATAAATTATAAACATTTATTCATTTGAAATATTTTTAATTATATTCGTCCACAATCACAATGTCTAAAAAAGAGCCGGTCTGGTCAATATTATCTTCATGTCTTGCCAGACCTAAAAACCATATGACCACCATAAAATGGGCCACCAACTACTTCATCAGAAATTAACTTTTTCGGTTGCTTAAGGTCTTGTTTCATACGTACATATTATACTCATAAACAAGGATTGCTCTTATCAGGATTTGTATTAGGACTTTTAGCTCAATAAGCACCCTTATTATGATTGCACTAAACGACTGTCTAAGGTAACTTAACTCACTCGCAAAATAATGAAGAAAGTACTTTTACTAGAGACAACGAAGTATAAAGAACTTTAATATTCATGTGTAATGATTTTAATGTTAGGTACTTACTAGGCTTGTTCCAATGTTATTAATAATAGTAGGGGAGCCTAAGCGGGGATTTTTGGATTTACTCGAGTGCGGTAGAAAAACATAAAGCGGCAAACTCGCACCTTGTGAACTACTCCCCCATACCTGAGCCCTCTATATAAGGCCGAACGTCTAAGACGGAAAACAATTCAACTAACGTCCATGACTTTTGGTCGCGTCGAAATCATCTGTCTTTTGCATAGGAGCTACTGGCGGATTCAAGCTACTTTAATATGCCCATGTCTATATCTTTCGACCACCATGATATGTTTTTACGGTGTTATAATAAAAAAAGTTAAATTTTCCATAGATCTTTCTATCCATACATTGTTGGCGGAGCTGGGTGTTATTTGCACATTTTCCTTTGTTCAATTAATCCTTTATTCACAATTTAACGTAGAAGCCATGAAAACGAAGCGAAGGCGGTTTACTTGTGGCTAATAAGTTACAATAACAACTATTGAGTCTAATTAACATTAAACTTCATATAATAAAGAAAAAAAAGTTGCGTGTAACCGTAGTGAATATGACCCATTAAAAGTATATTTATAATAATTGAGTACCTATTTATTTATCCTAATATAATAGTTAATTTCATTCCTTTTAATACGTGTGTGACGATTTGAACAACACGCTTCTTGTCTAAAGGCACGTGCCAGACTGTGTCCATAACGTTTGTTAAATTGCTGTCTTTATAAATGATAAAGATTGTAACAACAAGGTTTTGCTAAAAAATGTTTTGAGTATTGAGGCAGCCTATCAGCATCCTTGTTTCTAGAAATGAAATTATGTCGTAAGTTAAGACATATTAGAATTCTATACAAATATAAACATCAAATTTTCACATATCGGTACAATATAAAAGTAATCATTGAATTTTCAAATTAACATAACACTTTCAGCAATTATCGTTGAATTCGCAAGGCCTACCCTTATAAGAGAATCACATCGGTTTGTAGCGGACCACCCTTACATGTACTTCCTTAAACAAAAAGAGAATGTACTGTTCACAGGAGCCGTTCACTTTTAGGTAACCTGTCTAAAACAAAAACCAAGCATGGCTTCACATCACCCATACATGTCACCTTCTTCATAACCTGACCATTCACAATCATGTGAGGAAAGGTTTTTATATTTTGTAGCAATTAAATTTAATAACGTTAAAAACTTAGCAATATAATTCTTAAATATTAAGTCGTAGAAATATTATTATTTATTCAGCGCCATCTATCATCATGCATATAAATTATTCAATATCGAAATCCACTTTGAAAAGCAATGGACAAGTACAATATATGTGTGAACCTAGTAGTTGCATTTGGAATGTAAGTTAGAGGGAGCTAGTGTGTAATTTTTTTAAATGAGATGCGGAAATGGATGTGACGTCACATTAATGTTCTGGAAACATTGAAAGGCGGAGTCAGCAAAACCGGTCCGTGTGCTTCCTCATACCAAATATGGTGATATGAGAGAAATTTGCAATGACGCTGTCACGTGTTGTAGTAGCCTATAAATAGCAGTGCACAAACAGATTCGCTCTCTTTTGGCTGATAGAACCTTGAAGACCATACTTAGAAAATAGCATTAAGACTAGCAGTGGTAGTCAGTGCATTATATACTTGTTATTTCTCCCCGGATTAACGGGTAAGTTCAATACATTTGATTCGTTAGGTTGTAGGTCCAGTTAGTTTTTTTATTGAATTAAAGAAAAATATGTAATTGGTTCTAGGTCCATTAATTTGGCTAATTAATAACAATAATAATCACAATTACTTGATCCTGACTGGAATCTCCTTGGAAAAATATATATATGAGCCTGTGAAGCTTTCTTGAGCAAAAAGTGACGGGTTCACGTGATGACAGCAAGTCCTGCTTCATCCCTGAGGACATTTGAGTCATCCTGATGCTCCCATGATCTTGCCAAGCTAAGTAAAACTTATAACTTCTTGATATTTAACCAGTGCATACTCCGGAGAACAATTTTTGTTTAACGTGATAAATTCTATTGGTAAACTGTAAAGCCATTATAAGTACATAACAATTTTTATTGTTAAATTTTTAAAACTTAGTATTTTATAACTTGTTTAATAATTTGTGTATATAAGAAACTTAAATTGAGTATTACTGTATTAGCACATGATCTTGAATGTTTGAATAGCTATAAATCAAAAGAAAAATCTTTGAAGAAATATAACTATGTATTTTTAACTTGAATGTGACTAGTATTAAGTTGTAACCATGATGAGATAAGATCTGAATCTTTTTAACAATATAATATCTTGTTCACTGCGGTTTTAGACATTTTCATTTATCTCCCTCAAATCACAGTATCACGGCGCCCTGATTTTAAATTAAATAAGTTTCGAGTCTCATGTAAGCCCTGAAATAGTCGGTGGTAACTAAAATTGTTACAAAATGGCGACCAACTTTAGGGCCGAGCAATAAAATACTGTATTTGAGGGAAATACTGGTGTGCTGATATGATGATAAAAAGGTTGGCGGAAAAATAAATGCTTAAATCCCCAATCAGTCTGAACGGCACACTAGAATTTAACATCTAATCAAAAAAAAAAATTTAACTTAAAAATCATTAATATTCAGAATTTGTACTAATGTGTTAATATGATGATAAAAAGATTGGTGGAAAAATTTAATGCTTAAAATCCCCAATCAGTCTGAATAGCACATTAGAAGTAAATTACTTAATAACTTAGAAAACTTTAATAAACACACTAGCATTAATAAACTTAGCACATTAGAATTAATCAACTTATACTACAATAACACTTTCGTATTGATTGGATGCGTAAAAAATTGACCTTGAACAGTGAACAAGATAGTCTTTAAGAATCGTAACTTGTAATAATAAAAGTACCCTCCTTCAAAAAAAAAAAAAAATTTTATAAATTCCTTTGTATTTAACTTTCTTAGATTAAATAACTTGAATAAGTAGCTTGATTTAAAAACTTGATTAAACGTAATTTAATAATTAACTTAATAATTAACTTAGTAACAGAAATAACTGACTTTAACTTGAAAAAATCTGAGAAAATGCTCTCTATACAAAAATATGTAAACTACTTAAGAAAGGATGAAATCATATATGAATTGGATATTCTTGGCATTTCCACAGCTCCTGACACATCGGTGGATGCACTGAGAAAGCAGCTTCGCCAAATTTTTAAGCTGAAGAGACGTGGCAGCATCAAGTGTGCTCCAGTGATCACACCACTCCCGGCAAGCGAGCTCAAGGCATGTACGCCGAAAATTGCTGAGCTCGAGGATCTGCTGTCATCAGGTGACCTCGGAAAGGACAGTAATCTTCACTTACGTGTGTCAGTTAGGGCTAATTATCTAATCGATAGACTTGCTCGATTGGAAGTTGACAATGCTTCTCTTGTGGATTTACGCCACAGGCTCATACGTATCTTAGCTCAAGTAGAACAGGAAGATGAAAGTAGTTCAGACGAATTAAGTGATAAGGAAGGTACTCCCAAGTGTAGTAAAACCGGCATGAAGGATTTGAGGGAACAAGAGACGGATGAATATGTGTTGCCTATCTCGAAAGCAATGATGAATGAAAAGAATGGAAGTGAGGAATTAATCGTCATTAAAGAAAAACCAATTAACTTAAATTCACTCAATTTAAAATATAATGGTTCGGGTTGCGTTAGAAGTTTTATTGAGAGGTTAGAGG